ATTGATGTCTATTTATGCAGCAGCATATCTTGCATGCTCACAGCGTTATGTGTCTGTGTATTTATCCTTTTACTTATACTACAATCTAATTAATCCTGTCTATCATTTGGTAAATGCTGCTTGTATTTGTTGCCAATGCTGATATATATCTGTCCATTTGTTTACTTATTTATTTTTACCTTTATTATTATTATTTATAAGGTTATCTTTATCTTTATTATGAAAGATTCATTTGTACTAATCCACGGGTCTTGCAATTGCCCCATGGGGATAAATAAAGTTTTTGAAATGAAAAAGGAAATGAAATTAGCAAGTCTATAATAGCAAGGTGTATCAGATCTAGTCCGCCAAGACCAAATACATTTACCTTGCCATATTCAATAGCATGCTAAAACTGTTCAGAGAGTTGTCATGATTGAAATGAATATAACTCCATTTTGCTTATCTATCTTTATCCTCCTAGGATAAAGACCTGAAACAGTACCTAGATGATTGTGGAAACTGCATTCATATGCACAATGTCAAGGTAAAACTTGGACAAATATCTTTTATTTCTTTTTCTCATAATTGTTGTACTGCACATTAGGGTTGTGCCGATAGACGATAGTATCGTGTATCGACGATAGTCTGACATATCGCCGATGGCAGATGCCTTTGACGATATCAATACGATAATTGGCTCGTTTTACCATAATGTATTAAATTATTATTATTAGGCCTATTATTATTATTATAAAGCTAGTATTGTTATTAAATGAATATTAGGAACTACAATCAATTTGCCTTGCCTAAATTTACAACGACATCACCTCATAACAATTGCATCAGCACACTAATGAGGACTCCTCTAAGAGAATGTTTTTAAAACAGACTAAAAAACATCCCACATCAAAATTTAATTGCAAGGTGATCCATTCACAAATTATCAAGTGTGCTCGTTTTAACAGAACCAAAATTCAATTTCCTACAGATCCAAGATGAAAACGGCATCGTTGTTCGTCAGTATTTGTTTCCGTAACACATTAACAAAACGTTTAATGACACTAACACTAAAAACAATACAATTACTAAATAGTATTAATAATAATATCACTAAAATAGTATTATAGTTACCGTTATCATCGTCGTCTCTGAGGGAACGCGGCGTTAATGCAGATGCCGAAAGCAGTCCGTTTTTACTTTCACTTTCAGAGATTGAGCACGTTTACATGCGACGACTTTCTTAACCTGATTATGTTGAATAAACTTGACAATGCATGTGGTCATGTAAACGTTTCCTTTATCTGAGTCAAGTCATAAGTATAAACCGATCGACTCAGCTAGACGTTTGGCCCTTGCTCTTGTTTCTCCCGGCATTTAAAACACATTAACCCGCGTACTTCGTGCTTACTGAAGTGCGCATGTGAAGTGCGCAAAGAGCGCACTGCTAGGGCTTTTTCTGACCCAAGAAATTATTAAAACGTGTTTTCATCTCGTGCAGAAATAGGCCCTAGTCAAAATGCTTCATGTAACGGCATGAGGATAGGCTAATGTGTCCGTAAATTTCCCGTTGACAAACAAAAGGATTAGGATCTCTTTTTTTTTTTTTACCTCACTATACAGGAAATAACCTGATCCTATTAATAAACACTCCACCTTTGCTAGCAAAATAGAAAAAATATTCTCGTATATAAAACAAGCAAATTAATGAGTAGGCTAAATAATCAAGTTAATAATCAAATGTTAGCCCCGCCCCCTCACGATACTATCGTGTATCGCCGATCTCACAGGCTGACGATAGGACGATATGAAAATGGAGCATATCGCCCAACACTACTGCACATGTCAATCTGAGATGGTGTACTTATTTATTCGTGTGCGTGTTTTTCCCCTCTCAGCTCTTCCTGTTTCAGCTGTTGCGAGGTCTGAACTACTGTCACAGACGTAAAGTCCTTCACCGAGACCTCAAGCCTCAAAATCTCCTGATCAACGACCGCGGGGAGCTAAAGCTGGCTGACTTTGGTCTGTAACACACATACCTGGTTTAACTAACTCACTGTTTTTTTTCATGGTTTGTGTGGTTAATAAAAACCAACTGTAAACACTTAACCTCAGGTTGCTCTAGTTGCATTGTCTCTGTTATCCTTGTACTGTAAATGTAAAGTTCCTTTGCTAAAAAAACATGTAGTGTACTACTAAATGTCTTAAGTGGAGTTATAATATCCTGTAAAGCTCTAGAAAGCTTGCTGAAACTGGTTAAATTAGTTTTTTTGTTTGGTCTTCAGGTCTGGCACGAGCAAAGTCGATTCCCACCAAGACCTACTCCAATGAGGTGGTGACCCTTTGGTACCGCCCCCCTGACATCCTATTGGGCAGCACAGATTATTCCACTCAGATTGACATGTGGTGAGCATATAAACTGATGATTTATACTTTATTTGTGGTATCAGTTATTTTTGGTGGCATTTATATTCTATTATAGTATATATTCATATTTTGTTTTAGTATTTTTATAATGTGCTTTTGTCATTTTTATTTATTTAGGTTTCTATATAGCTTAATTTTTATTTCAGTTTTTAAAAACTTACATTTATTCAAGTTAAGCATTTATTGCAGTTAGTTGACAAGGCAACATTTCTGAGTTTGTCAAGTTTTTGGAGTTTGTTATTCAAGTAAATTATTATTTATATATTTATTATTTATCAATATTAATATGTATTATTTATATATTTATTAATTAATAATAAATTAATTTTATTTCACATTTTCATACAACTTTATTTCAATTACAGAAAACCGTTTTTAATAGTTTCAGTTAACAATAACAACACTGCTGATTATCACTAGTAAATACATCTTTTGCTGAATTGGCTATTATTATTATTTTTTAATTATTTCCCTTTTTTATTGAAAGTTGAGATTTATTTTATTGCTTTTTCCTCCATGTACTTATTGAACAACAGCTAGATGTCGCGCAGCAGATACCAAAGACCCGCTTTTGAACTTTTTTTAAAACTTGACACAAGTATTAATCGAGAACTGTTAACATGTTAGGTGTGAATGGTCCCTCCCTAACATTGTAAACGTTCTTGATTATCGAGGAGTGATTATTTGTGGTTCAGTCTGGTGTTGATTCAGAGACCGGCTCTGATGGATTTAGCCAGTGAATGATTCAGACATCACCTTTGTAGTCTTTTTATGTTATTCATAGAAAGAAACTACTCATAAGAGTAATGTTCATACATCACACTACAGTTTTATGTGCCAAGACAGTGTGATTCAATATTGTTATTGTAAATTCATACTATTAAAAATCATTGATACATTCGCCCAGGTTGCAACAAGGGCCCTTGTCTTTTTTTTACTTTCTCCTCTTTAAGAAAACAATGTTTTGCTGACCTTTAAAGGTGGTGCGTAAAGCAAAAGCTTGTATTATCTTTGTTTGAGTCCATCTTAAATCGTGCCGTTTCCTTTTTCGGCTTAAGCTTTTCTGGGTCAGTATTTTTATCTTGGGTTGTTTTTCCAAATTTATAGTGTAAATGCAGAGATCAGATATGGATTGCTTTTAAAAGAAGAAAAAATTGGGCGAAATTGGGCATCAAGACCTGCAGTGTAAATGTGGCCTAATTGTATAGTACTAAAAGTAGAACTGAAATGAAATAAAATAAACTAACGCTAAATAGAAGTCTTTTTTATCTAATAAAAAGGACAAAAGCACATAACATAATTACTAAAACTTAAACTAAATTTAAATTGAATTAGCTTTTTTATTTTTCATATTTTCATTTTTCATTTAATTAATAAATACTATAATAGTATATAAATTATACTAAAATAACTCATTTTTCCTTCTACCTCGAATTGAGTTCAGGTTGCAAGTGCACACTTTGGTTAAAATGATTTCTTTTACCATGGTGCTGTCCTGTAGATTGAAGTAGCAGTGCAGGAAACACTGTTAATGAGGCTGTCTGTTTTATGTCATAGCTTCTGTAAAGGTGAACTTAAATTGAGTTTTAATGTCTCTCTTTGAAGGGGTGTTGGCTGTATCTTCTACGAGATGTCTACAGGTCGACCCTTGTTCCCTGGCTCCACGGTGGAAGAGGAGCTGCACTTTATTTTCAAACTGCTCGGTACTGCTCTCTCTCACTCTGCTCTTTCTGGCTCTAGATCTGACGGTTTGTCTCCGTGTGTGTCATTGTGATATTTATAAATCCTCCTGCGTCTTTTCACAGGTACGCCCACAGAGGAGACCTGGCCTGGAATAACCTCTAATGAGGAATTCATCTCCTATAACTACCCCCGATACCGTCCTGACTGTCTCCACAACCACACTCCACGGTAACAACAGCTGTCCTCTGGGCCTGATGCCTGAAACCATCCCCGCTCCTGTTGTAAAAACTAACGACACTCTGTCGGAGGTCATTTATTGAAGTTGCAGTTACTCTCTTGCAGATTGGACAATGATGGAGTTGATCTTCTGTCGAAACTGCTGCAGGTGATTTGCATTTATTAAAATAGAAATGTATAGAAGGTGAAGATGGTCCCATCTCAAACTCGCCCCATTTGATGAGCCACACGGATGCTTGTGTTTGAACCACAGTGTTTGCATGTTTCTAGAAATCACACCTACGAATGCCTTGCTTTACAGTAAGCTGGTTACGTATAAGATAAAGCATTTTTAATAGTGACACTTTTATTATATGGCTGTTTTCTTGACAGAGTTTAGCTATTTGAATGTACGTTCTCTACTGAAAATTAATGGAGCTCTTGTTTACATGGCAAACGCTTGAGTCAACATGCAATCAGTATATTTTTGTTGTGCATGAATTGTGATCCTCCAGCATGTGCTATTCAAAAAAAGAAAAACCTTTTGTTTTTCATTATAACAGTTATTTGATCTTCTTGAAACAACTTTTCATAGTGTGTTTCACAGTATTATCTAATAGATTTTAACTCATTGTTTTAGGTTGCTGTTGTAATACAGCTAAGTCTTAGCAATATTCAGTGAGTAATGTGTGTTAACATTAGTGTGATATAAAAAATATGAATAGATTTGAAAAGTGTTGGGATGTTTTGAGATGATCTTGAGGGTCAACTCCCAGTCAGAAAGTCGGTAACACTTTACTTTAGCCAACCACATGACAGTTTAACTTAATTTTATGTTAAGTTGTCATGACAAAGACACTAACAGGTTAGATATCATAACAAAGACATCTTAAAAAATGTCATATTTGCATTCAAAATGTCATTATTGAGCGAAAGACACTTAATGACAGTTGTCACAAACATGCATAAACCTTACTTCATATTCAAGACATCTGTCATGTCATGGTTATGAAGGTGTTGTGTCAGTCTTATGCACACCCCTTCAAGTAAAGCGTCACCCCTAAAAGTCTCCTCAAAAATGATGATTTAGGTGTAGATCAATACTGTGCAAACTCAAGTTCAGGTCTCACTCCATTTTGATATAGAACTACTGATAATTCAATCAGTTCCTGATAAATAAAATAAAATCAGTTTTTCTTTTTTTATAGAAGAAAAATTCTTAGTAAAAAAAAATATATATATATATATATATGAAGAGTTCAGATGCAAAAGCCTCTAAATGCCATTTGAAATTTTCTTCTTTAATGATGATTTTAATCGAACTTGTATATTTAAGTTCAGTAATTTCACTTAAATGGCAATGATAATTACCTATTAATTGTTATTTAAGTGAAATTACTGAACTTAAATATACAAGCTTGATAAAAATCATCATTAAAGATGAAAATTTCGAATGGCATTTAGAGGCTTTTGCATCTGAACTCTTCATATATATATACATACATAAACAAAAACAACACTACGATAACATACTAAATACTAATAAACAAAACATAAAAATATATACATTTATATAAATATGCATTTTAACATACAACAATTTAACACACAATATTCTTCAATAATAATCTAACACATTAAGTTAAAAGAAAATGTAGCCACATTTAAAAGACAAAATAACAAAATTTAAACTAAATGCCATTTTAGGTTGACTTCAAAAAAAAAAAAGTGTATTTTGGTAGCTTGCCTTATACAATACTGTTCAAAAGTTTGACATTGTGGAATGACTCTTATACTCACCAAGGCTGCATTTATTATCAAAAAATGAAGTAAAAACTATGAAGTAATTTTACTAACACTAACACACTGTGTTTCAGTTTGAGGGCAAGAAACGGATCGCAGCAGAGGAAGCCATGAGACACCCGTACTTCCACTGCCTGGGAGAGAGAACTATCACACTGCCAGACAGTGAGTTCACGTACACACAAACACACACACGCGCATATCTCCTACCGCAGAGATTTATGATGGTGCCAGATAACAGATGCATGCGCGATCACACACCTCACACTGACAGAAATATTAAAGTGTCAGACAGAAGTCTCACACATACACACACACACTTAAGTTCAAAAGACATTTAATTCCACCGAGCCGGTGTAAGCTGCTCTGTATTTGCACTGAATCAAGTGAGTGTATGTGGAAATAAGCTTACTCTGACCTTTAACGGTATCACAGCACTTGTTTCTCTTAACTGTTGAATTTCTCCCTCTCAGCTACATCAATATTTGCACTTCAAGAAATTCAGCTGGAGAAGGAGCCAGGAATGAGGACGAACTCTCTGTCAGAATCAGGTAAAAACACTGAGCGCCGATGAATCATGATGATATGTGTATTTTGAGCTTCATCCATCAGTGTACTGTGTGTTTGTGGCCCCCACGTCAACTGGCATTACTCTTAAACTGTCAGTTACTCTCAAGCTGTCCGTTTTTGTAGTCTTGTGAAAATCTGGCCGACATTCGACTTACATCGTCATACAGGAAGACACAAAAGGGCTGTAAAGTGACCAACTATGTTTTTGTGCGACTTTTGAATATAATTCTGGAGTGAACAGATCTGAAATCAGACAATTGGGTTGGGAATCAAAAAACAATATTTAATAAATGATTTTGTTGATGGTTACTGACCATCTGCATTCTTATGCTGAAGAAATATTCCTGCGCCACTAATCTGAATCTAAGAATCGATAATGGATAATTCACCTAAAAATGTAAATTCTCTCTTTTTCTTACCCTCATGTCGTTCCAAACCTGTATGACTTTTACATCTGCTGAACACAAAAAGATGTTTTGAAGAATGTTGGTTACTAAACAGATTCGGTTCACATTGACTTCCATTGTATGAACAAAATACATTGAAGTCAATGAGAACTGAAACTCTTTGGTTATCAACATTCTACTAAATAGTGTTCAGCAGAAGATCTGCTTTCAAGCCTTTACACTTATTTTTATGGTCACAAATTCAGTTTAAAGTCAAGTTTTGAATGTGAATTTTCAACAAAATTTTCAACACCTTTGCTGAGTATTTTCTCCTTGAAACTGCAGTGTACTAAAACCAGTCTCAAATACGAGGTTTGAAACTGCATGTTTTCTACCAAATATGTAACTAATCCTGTCAACGTTTGGGGGGGGGGCTTTGCCTCATGATTTCTAAGGATTTTTAGAAAGCATCTGTCCGACTCTTAAGATTCCCAACGGGAACATCGTTTGTGTAACATTAGCAACACATTATTAGCTGTTTGATAGCCAAAGGCTATTCATATCAATTACCGTTATGTCAATTTTTTTTTGTTTCAAATTCTGAATGGATTATTTTATAGCCTAGAAAGCATGCCATGACCTCTCCCCTGCTGAGCTGTCACTCATCTCGGTATGCGAACTTAAAAAGTTCCATTATAATCAATAAAGTGGTCTACACTGCTATCTTATTTACATCGCGTCTACATTTTGTTATTGAGAGGATTCGCGAGTGCACTGAAAAAAACAAACTTTTTTTCAGCCATTTTGAGCGGTACGTGGAGTCTACAGAAATTATTATAATATGATGCTCAAGAAACATTTATGTTTTTTTTACATTTTTATTTCAAGATTCTTTGATGAATAGAAAGTTCAACAAAATTGATCTGAAATGGAAAGCTTTTGTAACATTAATCACTATCATTCAAAAGTTTGGGGTCAGTAAGAATTTTTTTTTTTTGGGGGAAAGAAATTAGAAAATACTTTTATTCATCAAGGATGAGTTAAATTGATCAAAAGTTGTAGCAAAGACATTTCTAATGTTAGAAAAGATGCTGTTCTTTTGAACTTTCTATTCATCATAGAATTTTTTTTTGGGGGGGGGGGATGGTGCACGACTGTTTACAACATTGAAAATAATAATTTGTTTTTTGAGCATAAAATCAGCATATTAGAATGATTTCTGAAGGATCACGTGACACTGAAAACTGATGTGTAATCAGCAACAGTAATGATGTTAAATTCAGCTTTCAAATTACATTTTAAAATATAGTAAAATAGAAAACAGTCATTTTAAATTGTCATAATATTTCACAATATTACTGTTTGTCTTTTTTTTTTTCATCAAATAAAGCAGCCTTGGTGAGCAGAAGAGACTTCATTTAAAAACAGAAAAAATCTTACTGATCTAAAATTTTTGACCGGTAGTGTACATCACACGGTTCTTCTGAGGCAGAACCTATCATTTATATGACTTGGGTGACCGCACTAATCCTATACCATTATCCCAGTCATAATCCTCCTGAATTTATTCATATTCATCATAAGAGAGATGAACTCTGATGCTCATCATTTCTGTGCTCTCTAATACTTCTCGCATTGCTCATCATAGTTTCCCCGCTCTAGTGAGAGATGCTGAATTACTCTCCCTCTCTCTCTTTATACCCCTCAATCTTTCTGTATCCTTCATCTCTGACTGCCTCATTTTTACCTGTTTATACCTAGTATTAAGATTCATGTCAGGTGAGCCAATCACATACCATTATACTTGTGATGGCCCAAAATGGATCTTGATATCTCTTTCTTTTCTTAACATCCATCCTTTTTTCTTTATATTGTTCATCAATATTTCTAAGTGTATTTCTCGTGTAGACTCATTAAGGCACATTTATGTTGACACAGCGATGCTTTCTCAGGAGTAAGTTCTGTGTATTATGCAGCTCATTCAGTGCTAACTCTGTTTCTACTCTGTTTTTCCCACGGTCTCTCTGTCTTTTCTCTCCCCCTGCCTATTTGAATGTGCTTTGATGTGTGTTTTTTTTCTTGCTCCACTGTGCTCCAGAGCTTTTGCAAAGATGTCTAAGGTTCCGGCATACCTTAGGTACATATTTGTCGCCCTCCTCTCAAGGCAGGAGGACACAAACACCAAAACCGCATTTGTTCCCTTGAGTTTCCTGTTCATCTGTGCTGTCCAGTTGTACCCCACAGGAATTACATAATAACATCTTAATCATTCCTCAGATATTTCCATAAGACATTTTCTCTCTGAACAGAGTACCTAGACATAGGTAGGCTTGAAGATGTCATGGAGCTTGAAATTAAAAATAAATCAGTTTAAATCATTATTAGGTGCATCTGTTACATGCATCACAACATTAAAGGAATGATTCACTTTGAAATTAATTTTTGGTATGTTTTAACTTACCTCAAGGGCATCCAAGATGTACACTCTCAGAAAAAAAGGTACAAACGCTGTCACTGGGGCTGTACCTTTTCAAAAGGTACACTTTTATACCTTAAGGGTGCATATTGGTACCTTAATGGTACATATTAGCACCTAAAATGTACATATCAACACTTAAAATGTACATATTAGCACCTGAAATGTACATATTATCACCAAAAATTTACATATTACCACATAAAATGTATATATTAGCACATAAAATGTACATATTAACACTTAAAATGTACATATTAGTACCTGAAATGTACATATTAGCACCAAAAATGTACATATTAGCACATAAAATGTATATATTAGCACATAAAACGTACAAATTAGTACCTAAAATTGACAAAAGTGTACCTTTTGAAAAGGTACAGCCCCAGTGACCGCTTTCGTACCTTTTTTCTGAGGGTGTAGGTGTCTTTGTTTCCACAGTATTTTAAATTTTTATTTTTAGGTCAAACCGTTCTTGTCTGTCAGTCATATAATGGACGTCTATGGTCACCACCTCAAAAAGCATGCACAGAGAAGTCCAAATTAAACACGATTTAATGACTCGTAAATGTAAGTACACATTGATGGACTAAGACACGAAACAAGTGTTTTGTGTGAGAAAACGAACAGTATTATATCGTTTTTACCTCTTGTAACCACAGCCACGCCCAAGTGATTGCTTTGTGGCTAACAAACGATATAAATACTGTTCGTTTTCTCACACAAACCGCTCGTTTCGTGTCTTAAGCCATCAATGTGTACTTACATTTACGAGTCATTAAATCACGTTTAATCTGGGCTTCTCTGTGAGGTGATATTCCATTATATGACTGACAGACATGAACGGTTTGATCTAAAAATATGAAAATTGAAACTACTGCGGAACCAAAGACACCTACATCTTGGATGCGCTTGAGGTAAGCTAAAACATCCCAAAAATTAATTTCAAAATGAACTATCCCTTTAAACTGATCTTGACATCAGTCGTACTTTAAGACTAATGCGTGAAATGCATTGGACTTGAGTTTGAATGTACATCAAAAAATAAATTTGCTGTGTGAACAGCCCTCTTTCCTCACCAAACAAGAAAACAGCTCAGGCTTCTCTAGAGCTTATAAACTGAGCATGTGTGGGTGGCACGTTGACATGTGTTTGGGTTTGGTGAGCTCGCCTACTCTCATGCCCAGTTCTCTAAACGAAGTTAGCGCTGCTTTTCTCTCTCTGTGTTATCCTTTCTACCCTCTGACGGTCCTTACGAGTGCGTTCGGTTTTATCCTGCTATGTTGCATGCACCATTCAGCCACTGAACGCTGTCTATGTAGCCTAAACAACGTCCTCTTCTTTCTCTCCAGTCAACAGCATATCTCAACGGCAGAGTCTGCTCTTCTGAGGGCACGTGTGGACGACGGACGATACGCAGAGAGGACTAAGACAAGGGATGTCTGTTTTCATTCGCTAGTCCTGTGGCATTATGTGTTTAGAAGGGGTCGCTGTAGTTGTTTACATGGAAAGGCTGAGGATGTTGGTTTGTGTACTTGTTTTCTTTGTTTCCACTGATGACGCACTCCCCCCATCCCTGTACACATCACGAACACGTTCTTCCCGTTTGCTGTACCTTCTCGACGTGGTTGCGTCAATCCAGCCGCTGTAATCTACCAATCAGACGCAGAATGTTATTGGATGACCTGCTTGAGTGCATAGACTTCATCCTTTGACTGAAACCAATCAACCTGTTTTATTTGCAATACTTCGCAATTGTAATGTAAAAGAAGGCGAGTTTATGAAGGACCGTGTCATCATGAATGCTGTCAAGAAGAAGCCAAGTTTCTCTAGTCTTCCAGAATAATAGTCCTCTTCATTAGTGTCATCAGCCCTCCCATCCAAAGATGAACATTTAGTACTATGCCACCACAATCGTCAACCTTAATCGATCCATTCATTTTTTTTGTATTCATCAGAACATTGATGACATTGACTTTGCTTTTGTTTGCATAATCATTTCACTTTTAAGTTGTTGTTTACATGTTTGTTTGCAATACAGTTTGATAATCTAGACTACGGTTTCACCAAAGACCCACATGCCGTCTTTCTTTCCCTTGGTTTGATTTGTATTGAGCTTCCACTACCATCATCATGTTCAAGTGAACCCTCGGTCAGCTGCACTGTGTGTCAAGGACATAATTATTGTGCAAAGCAACTTATGTTTGTGTTGCATTAAGGAAAGCCTCGGATTTCCTCCGGATGCCTAGTTCAGGCCTTGTTGATATCTCTTCCATTACCGCAGCTCTTGGGGCTGTCACTCGAGTTGAAACCCGAGCTCAATTCTTCGTCGGTTCAGTCGGGGTGATGAGAACCCATAATGGGATGCCCGGGCGCATGCGGAGAACCGGTCGACTTGTATCTGGCTCAGGTTTCTGTCACTCTGCAGAACAGCTGAGTGCGGTGGATAATGTTCCGCATCTCGCCCCGGTTGTTCATACCCCGCAGGTTTCAGAGCGCATTGGTGTCGCGTAACACACCGCAAATTTAAAACACTATACCGTCTCCTGGCATGTACGAATCAGGGCCTCTCTGCACAATGTCGGCGATTTATGCAGTCCCACAAATGTGATTCATTGGGTTAATCTCTGAGGGGGGAAAAAGTCCAGGTGATGTTTTACACCAAAATGAAAAGAGAGAAATAATGCATTTTATTTTGCTTAATGAAAACACAGCTTATTTTTAGGACCATTCATATTTGTTTTGTTTTATTTTGGATTATTTTCATTACAAATGAACCCCCAAATTCATATTCCTTTAATGTGAGAATGTGATTTAAATTCTATCTGGATTAATAACAACCTTTCCTTTTTTTATACAGCGTATTTAATATATTGTATTTTTTTAAAAGCATATATATATGGTAGTATTTGTTATACCGTCTTTGCTGATGTACACTGTTTACTGTAATACAGCATTATTTGCTGTATTAATTTACTCGCCTCCATGTCTTCCAAGATGTCCATGTCTTTCTTTCTTCAGTCGAAAAGAAATTAAGGTTTTTGATGAAAACATTCCAGGATTTTCTCCATATAATGGACTTCATTGGGGACCAAAATTTTAAATGAGCGATCGTTTTGCTTGATAAGTCCCTTATTCATTGTCTGGAATCGTTTGAAGCTGCAAAGAAACTCTCATTTGGACCTTGAACCGTTTGGTTCCCATTGAAGTCCATTATATGGAGAAAATCCTGGAATGTTTTCATCAAAAACCTTCATTTCTTTTCGACTGAAGAAAGAAAGACATGGATATCTTGGATGACATGGGGGTGAGTAAATTATCAGTAAAAGCTTTTTTAAAAGTGAACTCCTTTAAGAGTATGACTAAAACTTCCAGGCACATTACAGTAATTAGTGGAAATGTGCTTAATTGGCAAAAAAAAAACCAATAATGTCACCATGGAAAAGACATAAAATTGTTTTTATGCAAAATATAATGTCTTATTTTCTCTATTTTAGTGTGAAATTAGACTGGATTTTTTTTATGTGTGTGCAAGATTCACCCCATTAGAGCTGAATGCAGAGTTGACTTGATATTAGTGATTATATTTTAGTAAATATATAATTTTTTAACAAATTAATTCAAGCAATCCCAAAAAGTTTGGTCTGGTGATAGATTGTGACTTCCCTTCCTCCTGCTGGAGATGACCTGTGAATACCCGTGCTGCATATATGTGTGTGTGAGTGAGTGTGAGAGAGAGGGGAATGCAGACTTGCATGGCAGTGTTGTAAAGTTAAAGACTGTGGTACTTTGTAAATAGCCTTAGAATGTTTTTTTTTTGAAGATCAGAGAGTGCAATGAGAAGATCCTCCTAATAATGTATAATTTTTAAAGCAAAGAAAAATATCATTTTTGTTATACTTATCATTGATGACGTTGGTCATTGTTTCTCTTTTTTTTTTTTTAAATATGTAGTAACCAGATGTTACTACCATAGGAGAGTCATGTGGTTGTAGATATTTGGTTTCGATGTTTGTTAGTTCATAAGGATGACAACAGCTCATAAAGCTTTCATCTGGATTACGATGAAAGTGGATAAATGTGGTTGAGAGGAAGCCAACTGTTCATTACTGCGCAATAATTGCTCATTTTACGCAATAACTTTTTTTTGTTTTTTTAAATCCCAAAATCCTCTTGATTTGAAGAGAATTTGATACTGATTTTCGGTAAGCATGGCATGTTGTTAAATATACAAAAAGCAAATAATGCCAGAAATTGTCATGCAAAAACTCAAGGCTGTGGTCTTCAAATCGAATGTGGTTTTGATATGACTGCAGGTGAAATGCTTTTATACATGGAGACACTTTGAGCCAATATGGACTTCATACGGTTTTCAGTATGTTTCTTTTGTACAACTCAACCTTTTTGAATGGGCATTTTATGCTAAACAAAATTTGATAATTGATCAGTACAGTATTATTTGCTTTTAGCTTTTTTATTTTGCAATTGTATACACCTAAAAGAGCCCAAAGTTTGTGGATTTTTAGCCATTTTACTGCTCTTCTCCAGTTGGCGTTTGTCCATGTGTGAAGGCATGAAGGGAACAATGAGGTCTGCTGTCATATCAACCACCTTAAGCAATACTCACTGTTAATGCACATTTCACATCTCAAGGATCTAATGCAGGAAATCCTCATAGAGAGCCATAGTATATTTTCTCATTGACAGTAAGTAAATAAGTATGCGTATATGAGTGGTCACTCGTTTGAGTCTAGAGATGTTAACCACAAATAACAACTGTTGATGCGTTGTTGAAACCTTCTCTTCTTAGTTCTTTATTGCAATAGTCAAATCTTTTCACACAAGAATATGTGGTTGAGAAGTATGTTGAAATGGAAAACCTTTACCAATAATTACACTACACAACAATGACTGACTGTTTCTTCATGTTGCTTGTATGAAAGCTCATTTGCGACCAATTCTGTCGATTATAAAGCAAGACGTGGATGGAGAACATTGGCACAAAAACAAGCTGTAAAACATTCAGGTTGAGCAGAACAAATGTGAATCATTTTCGCTGGCAATATAATCAATGTCCCTAATTTTGTTTTACTTTTTGTAACTCATATTTAAATGTAATAATATTCATATTAGTGCTGTCAAAGCGATTAACCAGTTTGTGTGTATATATACTGTACATGTATGCATGCACACACTTGCAAACCTTTGTTAGATGTGGTTAATTGATTTGACGGCACTAATTCATACATATTGAAAAAGCTTATAATATTGACCAGTACAAAAATGACAATTAGTTACACAACGGGTCACTCGCTCTAACAAGTCTTTTGTCAGCTTGTTGTTTTATTTTAAAAAAGCCTGAAAACCCAATAAACAAACTATAAAATCTCCACTTGTATATCACCCATAGTTGGACACATTCATTTTTCACAAATAAAGATGGCTTAATATTGACTAATATATGCATGAGTTTTTATGTGTTCAGCCACCCCTAAAAAATGTATATGCAAATCCAAAAGGTATAAACAAACTTGGTTTTGGAGCAACTTTGAAATGTGCCTTTCAGATTCAGTAAAAAAAATAATAATACAGATGTGATAAGTGATTAATTTTGGCATGAAAAGTTTGTTTGCATTGTGAATACAGTCGATAAATCAAATAACCAAGAGAAATGGCACCAAACCGATACCTCTATGAAATATGACCCATATTTAAAAAAAATAATAATAATAAAATAAACCCTTCCTCACACTTATGTTCTAAGTGTTTTCCTTGAAGCAAATTGTACTGTATATTTATGATTACATACATGGCTCACACAGTGACCACAGTTGACCACCAGGACGAACCTGAAAAGTGACACAAGAACTTATTTCAAATCCATATAAAGTCCTTCCATTGTGCATTGGCAATATTTTTGTGATGTTCTTAGCAGCCACATATTTCAAATGAGAATTTCACTGAAGTTCTTACTCATTTCAAGATTTCTCCGTAGTTAATATGCGCCTCAACATGTATTATAGAGCAGCTTGATTTGTTGACTGCTTTTCAGCTTTTGCTATTGGTCAATGCCAAAGTTATCCGAAGCCTTGCATGGGTTGGTGTTTAATTTTTCCGAGGAATGTTATAATGCTGACACCCTGCTTTGTGTTTCTTACTGAGCCAGAGAATTACTGTTATAATAAAACCCACATACTTATAACCCCAGTATTCCCAGACTCATCTTTAAAAATGTGATTATTCTGTTCATTAATTGTATCAAAGATATACAATTCAATAAAGGTATGTACATTTCTGAATAATAACTTGTACAAGGTCCAATTATTTGTGTCTTCTATGGGTCTGTTTTTGTCTTCTAAGGGTATATAAATGCTTTCTGGTTGTCTAAAAAATTAAAAATGTAATGAATGTATGTGTATGTATACACACGTGTATATATGAAGAGTTCAGATGCAAAAGCCTCTAAGTGCCATTTGAAATTTTCTTCTTTAATGATGATTTTTATCAAACTTGTATATTTAAATTCAGTAATTTCACTTAAATGTTATTTAAGTGAAATTGCTGAACTTAAATATACAAGTTTGATAAAAATCATCATTAAAGAAGAAAATTTCAAATGGTATTTAGAGGCTTTTGCATCTGAACTCTTCATATATGTGTGTGTGTGTGTGTGTGTGTGTGTATTGCAAAAGTCTTTAATGTCACTTTTTAATGTTTTCTATCGATAGATAGATAGATAGATAGATAGATAGATAGATAGATAGATAGATAGATAGATGGATAGATAGATAGATAGATAGATAGATAGATAGATAGATAGATAGATAGAAAGATATGAAAATTAGTAGATAGATTGATCACTAGTTACTAGTAAAGCTGTTTCTGTGATAGATTATTTCGTCTTATTCAACGCCAGCCTCTGAAATCTGTGATCGACTCGTCAGGCTTGTTGATTTTCAAGATGGCGCCGCTCACATCTCCCACACGTGAATTGTTCAGTGAGGCAGTTCGGGCTGTTTTGGAAACGTGGCCGGTGCTGCAAGTTAGTATATTTATAACGTTACATTCCGAAAAATAATATTATTCGTTGAATATTGTCAGGCAATTTTCACTTTCATATTCATAAATCTGACTGCTAACAGGTTAGCCTGTTAGCGCTTCAAAGAATAAACACGAAATGTTTCTACGATAAACATATGTTGTACACTTGCTTTAATTCACGTCTTCTTGTCGCGATATTTAGTCTAGCTGCACAGGAATTGTGATGATGTGATCTTCCTCCTGGCAGAGGCTGCACCAACTTCTGATTTCTAGATGTAATGGATTACGGATTTAACGAGCTCAGTGTTTTCTCCCAGATCGCGGTCGATAATGGTTTTGGTGGAGCTTATAGTCAGCAGAAAGCGGAGTGGATGGTGGACGCGCTTCAGCAGTATTTCAACGACAACGGTCAGAACCGTCAAATGATTCCCACTAACACTGTAGGATATGTTCTGATGTGTGTGTGTTTCCCCACAGATGAGCTGATGCAGGACGAAGTGGAGGATTTCATCTCACACCTCATGAACAATGAATTCGACACGATGGTGGATGATGGCAGCTTGCCTCAGGTTTGCTTGCTTTTTGAATAGATTAGGATCACATCTGCGTACAGATGGTTCATGTGTGTTTGTGAAACTCTTCTGGTCTTGCTCAGGTGGCACAGAAGGTGTGTGTGATGTTCCAGCAGTGTCAGCAGGGCAAACTGACGGATGTCAGAGAGCAGATCAACCAGCTGATTCTGAAGAAGAGCGCCGGGAGGGCAAAGGCCACACCTGCCAAAACACCTGATGATGATGATGATGATGACGAGTGTGAAGATGAAGAGGTACAGTGTGTATTTTTATATACAGTATCTCACAAAAGTGAGTACAGCCCTCACATTTCAACAAACATTTTAATCTTCTCAAGGGACAATGCTATAGAAATTAAACGTGGATATATTTTAGAGTGGTCAATGTGTTGTTTTTATAGCGTTATATATTTACTGTCCTCTGAAAATAACTCAACATACAGCCATTATTGTTAAAATAGGGGAGAGTGGGGCACAACCTAACGCATTTTGGTTTTGGCTCAATTAATTAAAAATTATTAGGTTAGATGAATATTTTTTTTACACAAGCAACATGCACATCTCTGCTACAAATGAACACTTAAAGTTTTTTTCTAGGACCTACCATTTTCGTACAGTTGCACTGAAAGTGACAGAAGTGCAAATGTTACAACTTACCCCATATGCGGGGTTAATTGTAACAGACAGAGGGGTTAGTTGTAACACTTGTGTCGTGTGTAACACACATAATTCAGTACCATTTTATTTGTATAGTTTGATATTGTTTGTGCATCTGTATAGACAGATATCCATACATCAATCCCTCGTCCAATCATCCTTCTATTGTGGATCAATATCATGGATAGAGATGTAGAAAAGGGCTGCACAGTTTTGCAATAAATAAAATTATAAAATATTGTAATTGCAATTAAATTAGATTTGTGTGAGGCAGCTGCATGTACAATTATTATTATTATTATTAATAATACAAATGAGCTTAAAATAAAAATTTAAAGAGTTTATTGCATTATAAACAGGCTCGGAAAACGCGGTCGTGTGTAGCGTTCACTTCAGATCAAATGACTATAGCATCCCGGCGATATGGAGTTCAACGTCATGGTGTGCCGAAGCAAGAATATTGATCGTCGTATACTACCAATGGCATCAAATAGTGGTATATAGGTAACTTAGTCATGTCATGCCCTAAATAGAACTTGTAATTGAAAAACAAAATTGGTTGTTTAAATACTCAAATCTTTAATGTTCTGTTTATGTTGTAACCTAGGTGAAAAATATGTATTAAAAATTTACCTGAGTATAGCCTATGCTTTTAGTATAGAAATATAGGCTACTCAAGTAAAGTTTTTATACATTTAATAGTATATAAATCTACCCTAAACATACTAATGTCTGCTGGCCTGTTATAGGATCATAATAATCTGTACAATATTGTGAGCACAGTGTATATCGTTAGCGAACGTGTAGCACGTCTCTCACCTAAAAGGCACCTGTCCTGTTCTCCACTGCTTCTCCTCACATCACAGCTCAATTTTTCTCTGACCATTCTGTCTGACATTATCCTGGCCTGTCCCTGATCTCTTTAGCATAGCAGGCTCATAACTTTATGGCTTGATCCGTCATACGAGTATTTCCTCAGCGTCCGAAATGTCATGCGATTCATTGTTTTCCTGTTGTGTGAATCGACGGCTCTCCCGCTCATTGCGTCACGCCCGCCACGCCCATTTTCAGACGCGGAAGTAAAATTCTCTCACAAAAACGACTGCAGAAGCTTCTGTAGCGTGTTTATACGTATATTTTAAAGAAAATCTAGTTCCTACATTGTTTTTCTATGCATTGACTCGTTGGGTCCTCTAACCTGCAATATGCCCTTTAACCCTGCGTTAGGTTGTGCCCCGCGCTCCCCTACTGAAACATGAGGGCTGTACTCACTTTTGTGACATACTGTGTGTGTGTTTACATATATATGAGAGAGAGAGAGCAATATCAGATATTGTGAAATATTATTACAATTTAAAATAATGGTTTTCTATTTGAATATACTTTAAAATATGACATATTTTGAAGCTGAATTCTCATTAAATATTTCTAATTTGAAGAAATGCTGTTCTTTTTTAACATTTTTGATCAAATGAATACATGCTTGTTTGGCATAAGACTTTCAAAAACATTAAAAATAGTGATGTTTCTAAACTTTTGACTGTGAGTGTGTGTCTGTAGATGAATAAATAATCTGTGTGAACATTTTTATTTGCATACTACATCCAAACTAGGGCTGCACGATTAATCGAATTTCCGAGTGTGAGCATTAGGAAATTAATTTGGTACATACATACTACATATCGAAGAGGCATGAAAGTTCGATTAATGGACTCCAATAATCAGTACTACAAACATCTTGTTTTGAACTATTGTTTAATAAATAGAAATAATTCCAGCACATAAACTTTCATATGGAGGATTAAATAGATTAAATGCATGCAGTAAGATTTCACAACTAATCACTAACACTGTACCACAACATTTTACCTTTCTTAAGTGTCAAATAACAATGACTCTGAATTTCATCCATTAATCAAACTTCCACAGTGCATAGTTCTGCCTTGACATGTTCTCATTTTGTTACATTCTGTTATGGAATATTTGTTTTTTATTGATTGATTATTCTGCGTGTTTTATTCACATCCATTATGCAGGTGCAATGCAAGTTTATATTTTGCTTTCTAAAATATATTTACCAAATGTAAAATATAAAATAGTGCCCTGTTAAAGTTTTGCTACATTTTCTTTATTTTTATAATTTTGATGAATGAGAGCACCTGTTTTATTTTGATGCACAATATGGATGTGAAAGCAGTTATAATTAGCCTATGTGACTAACATTTGTTTGGGTTAAAATCAACAAATAATCGTGATAATTAATCATGATCTCAATATTGATCAAAATAATCGTGATGATCATTTTGGCCCAAATCCAAACGTCCCCTTTAAGATTGTAATCCTCTCACTGGTGTTCTCTCAGGCTATGGATTGTGCTGGAGGTGCAGAGGGACCGTCAGTCAGCAGCACAGCTGTGATGGAGCAGCTTCCACAGGACACCAGTCACCAGGAACAAGATGATGGATGGACACTTGTATGTAGGAAGAAGTAATTGGACTGATGAATTTCTTAATTTAAAAGACATTTTAAGGGCCTCTTCTACTCTGGATACTTCTCCATTTGCAACTGCAACAAACTCATGAAACCTACACTATCAGGCATCTGATGTTTAGACGGATCGATACGGATGGATTACCACACTGGACCTCTTAGGGTTTCTTTCATAAATTAGTCAGGACTGTTTTTCCCGTGTTTTTCATGTGTGTATGACTTGTACGGGTCTGCTTTTGTTACCACGACTCTCAAATTTTCTCTTTGACTTAGTTTTTAATACCCTAATTTATTTACAATTTGTAGGTTAATGCATGCAATGGTCCTTTATCGCCCCCTTCTGTCACTGCAGTATCTCTGCAACTGTAAAATGCAGTGCTGGATTTTCCAGCTATGTCCTGTTTGATTTTTTATTTTTATTTTTTTTTTTAAACAACTTACACACATTCTGATAAACTTTTTTAATCAATTTATGATAAAATACTTCAAAAATGAAAAACAATTAATTATATTTAATTATGTTGATTACTAGATACAATGTTTAAACATGCTACAGTGTTATGGTCACCAGTAGAATTATTAAAAAAATACTCTATCACATCCATGGTTAAAAGTGATGCTTTATTCTTCAGTACACAGGGTTCAAGAGGGATCAAAGCTTCTTTAAATAGATATAAAAAACAAAGGTTTGAGGTTCTAGCTAAGTCTGTGCTCAGGATACTGTATCTCCAGTTTGTTTGACCTTAACAGTGAGTTTACCCTCTGAAAGGTGGATGTGTGCACCAGGTGATCAGACTTAATGAAAGAGGGTTATGAGTTGAGCCAGGGGTGCTGTAGACACTCTGAAGCTGTGGCGCGCTTCTCTGGGATGAACTCCAGCATTGTGAGCAGGAAGTCGCTGAACTGGGCCGCTTGATCCAGAGGCCATTCGTACTTCTCCAATAGAACCTCAAACAATCCCCACGGCTTCAGGTTCGAGATGTGCCGCAGCTCACCTACACACACATACACACAAACACAAACATGATCAAGAAGATCAGAGAAACTAAAATCATTTTCGGGCGAAAAATTAAGTTTCTCCAATCTTCTCAAAACTCTGGATTATGATAGAGGGCCGCGAGACTTTGACCTGAGTGCAAAAATGGAGGCTCTAGACCCTTCCAGAGCTGAGATATCGAAACTCACAATTTCTACCCGAAAAAAAAACGACAGTGTTACCCCTTACGTTTTTTTCAGTTTTCGGGCGAAAAATCAAGTTTCTCCAATCTTCTCAAAACTCTGGATTATGATAGAGGGCCGCGAGACTTTGACCTGAGCGCAAAAATGGAGGCTCTAGACTCTTCCAGAGCTGAGATATAGAAACTCAAAATTTCGACCCCAAAAAAAACGACAGTGTTACCCCTTACGTTTTTTTCAGTTTTCGGGCGAAAAATCAAGTTTCTCCAATCTTCTCAAAACTCTGGATTATGATAGAGGGCCGCGAGACTTTGACCTGAGCGCAAAAATGGAGGCTCTAGACCCTTCCAGAGCTGAGATATCGAAACTCAAAATTTCGACCCGAAAAAAAAACGACAGTGTTACCCCTTACGTTTTTTTCAGTTTTCGGGCGAAAAATCAAGTTTCTCCAATCTTCTCAAAACTCTGGATTATGATAGAGGGCCGCGAGACTTTGACCTGAGCGCAAAAATGGAGGCTCTAGACCCTTCCAGAGCTGAGATATCGAAACTCAAAATTTCGACCCGAAAAAAAAACGACAGTGTTACCCCTTACGTTTTTTTCAGTTTTCGGGCGAAAAATCAAGTTTCTCCAATCTTCTCAAAACTCTGGATTATGATAGAGGGCCGCGAGACTTTGACCTGAGCGCAAAAATGGAGGCTCTAGACCCTTCCAGAGCTGAGATATCGAAACTCAAAATTTCGACCCGAAAAAAAAAACGACAGTGTTACCCCTTACGTTTTTTTTCAGTTTTCGGGCGAAAAATCAAGTTTCTCCAATCTTCTCAAAACTCTGGATTATGATAGAGGCCGCGAGACTTTGACCTGAGCGCAAAAATGGAGGCTCTAGACCCTTCCAGAGCTGAGATATCGAAACTCAAAATTTCGACCCGAAAAAAAAACGACAGTGTTACCCCTTACGTTTTTTTCAGTTTTCGGGCGAAAAATCAAGTTTCTCCAATCTTCTCAAAACTCTGGATTATGATAGAGGGCCGCGAGACTTTGACCTGAGCGCAAAAATGGAGGCTCTAGACCCTTCCAGAGCTGAGATATCGAAACTCAAAATTTCGACCCGAAAAAAAAACGACAGTGTTACCCCTTACGTTTTTTTCAGTTTTCGGGCGAAAAATCAAGTTTCTCCAATCTTCTCAAAACTCTGGATTATGATAGAGGGCCGCGAGACTTTGACCTGAGCGCAAAAATGGAGGCTCTAGACCCTTCCAGAGCTGAGATATCGAAACTCAAAATTTCGACCCGAAAAAAAAACGACAGTGTTACCCCTTACGTTTTTTTCAGTTTTCGGGCGAAAAATCAAGTTTCTCCAATCTTCTCAAAACTCTGGATTATGATAGAGGGCCGCGAGACTTTGACCTGAGCGCAAAAATGGAGGCTCTAGACCCTTCCAGAGCTGAGATATCGAAACTCAAAATTTCGACCCGAAAAAAAAACGACAGTGTTACCCCTTACGTTTTTTTCAGTTTTCGGGCGAAAAATCAAGTTTCTCCAATCTTCTCAAAACTCTGGATTATGATAGAGGGCCGCGAGACTTTGACCTGAGCGCAAAAATGGAGGCTCTAGACCCTTCCAGAGCTGAGATATCGAAACTCAAAATTTCGACCCGAAAAAAAAACGACAGTGTTACCCCTTACGTTTTTTTCAGTTTTCGGGCGAAAAATCAAGTTTCTCCAATCTTCTCAAAACTCTGGATTATGATAGAGGGCCGCGAGACTTTGACCTGAGCGCAAAAATGGAGGCTCTAGACCCTTCCAGAGCTGAGATATCGAAACTCAAAATTTCGACCCGAAAAAAAAACGACAGTGTTACCCCTTACGTTTTTTTCGTTTTCGGGCGAAAAATCAAGTTTCTCCAATCTTCTCAAAACTCTGGATTATGATAGAGGGCCGCGAGACTTTGACCTGAGCGCAAAAATGGAGGCTCTAGACCCTTCCAGAGCTGAGATATCGAAACTCAAAATTTCGACCCGAAAAAAAAACGACAGTGTTACCCCTTACGTTTTTTTCAGTTTTCGGGCGAAAAATCAAGTTTCTCCAATCTTCTCAAAACTCTGGATTATGATAGAGGGCCGCGAGACTTTGACCTGAGCGCAAAAATGGAGGCTCTAGACCCTTCCAGAGCTGAGATATCGAAACTCAAAATTTCGACCCGAAAAAAAAACGACAGTGTTACCCCTTACGTTTTTTTCAGTTTTCGGGCGAAAAATCAAGTTTCTCCAATCTTCTCAAAACTCTGGATTATGATAGAGGGCCGCGAGACTTTGACCTGAGCGCAAAAATGGAGGCTCTAGACCCTTCCAGAGCTGAGATATCGAAACTCAAAATTTCGACCCGAAAAAAAAACGACAGTGTTACCCCTTACGTTTTTTTTCGTTTTCGGGCGAAAAATCAAGTTTCTCCAATCTTCTCAAAACTCTGGATTATGATAGAGGGCCGCGAGACTTTGACCTGAGCGCAAAAATGGAGGCTCTAGACCCTTCCAGAGCTGAGATATCGAAACTCAAAATTTCGACCCGAAAAAAAAACGACAGTGTTACCCCTTACGTTTTTTTCAGTTTTCGGGCGAAAAATCAAGTTTCTCCAATCTTCTCAAAACTCTGGATTATGATAGAGGGCCGCGAGACTTTGACCTGAGCGCAAAAATGGAGGCTCTAGACCCTTCCAGAGCTGAGATATCGAAACTCAAAATTTCGACCCGAAAAAAAAACGACAGTGTTACCCCTTACGTTTTTTTTCGTTTTCGGGCGAAAAATCAAGTTTCTCCAATCTTCTCAAAACTCTGGATTATGATAGAGGGCCGCGAGACTTTGACCTGAGCGCAAAAATGGAGGCTCTAGACCCTTCCAGAGCTGAGATATCGAAACTCAAAATTTCGACCCGAAAAAAAAACGACAGTGTTACCCCTTACGTTTTTTTTCGTTTTCGGGCGAAAAATCAAGTTTCTCCAATCTTCTCAAAACTCTGGATTATGATAGAGGGCCGCGAGACTTTGACCTGAGCGCAAAAATGGAGGCTCTAGACCCTTCCAGAGCTGAGATATCGAAACTCAAAATTTCGACCCGAAAAAAAAACGACAGTGTTACCCCTTACGTTTTTTTCGTTTTCGGGCGAAAAATCAAGTTTCTCCAATCTTCTCAAAACTCTGGATTATGATAGAGGGCCGCGAGACTTTGACCTGAGCGCAAAAATGGAGGCTCTAGACCCTTCCAGAGCTGAGATATCGAAACTCAAAATTTCGACCCGAAAAAAAAACGACAGTGTTACCCCTTACGTTTTTTTTCGTTTTCGGGCGAAAAATCAAGTTTCTCCAATCTTCTCAAAACTCTGGATTATGATAGAGGGCCGCGAGACTTTGACCTGAGCGCAAAAATGGAGGCTCTAGACCCTTCCAGAGCTGAGATATCGAAACTCAAAATTTCGACCCGAAAAAAAAACGACAGTGTTACCCCTTACGTTTTTTTTCGTTTTCGGGCGAAAAATCAAGTTTCTCCAATCTTCTCAAAACTCTGGATTATGATAGAGGGCCGCGAGACTTTGACCTGAGCGCAAAAATGGAGGCTCTAGACCCTTCCAGAGCTGAGATATCGAAACTCAAAATTTCGACCCGAAAAAAAAACGACAGTGTTACCCCTTACGTTTTTTTCGTTTTCGGGCGAAAAATCAAGTTTCTCCAATCTTCTCAAAACTCTGGATTATGATAGAGGGCCGCGAGACTTTGACCTGAGCGCAAAAATGGAGGCTCTAGACCCTTCCAGAGCTGAGATATCGAAACTCAAAATTTCGACCCGAAAAAAAAACGACAGTGTTACCCCTTACGTTTTTTTTCGTTTTCGGGCGAAAAATCAAGTTTCTCCAATCTTCTCAAAACTCTGGATTATGATAGAGGGCCGCGAGACTTTGACCTGAGCGCAAAAATGGAGGCTCTAGACCCTTCCAGAGCTGAGATATCGAAACTCAAAATTTCGACCCGAAAAAAAAACGACAGTGTTACCCCTTACGTTTTTTTTCGTTTTCGGGCGAAAAATCAAGTTTCTCCAATCTTCTCAAAACTCTGGATTATGATAGAGGGCCGCGAGACTTTGACCTGAGCGCAAAAATGGAGGCTCTAGACCCTTCCAGAGCTGAGATATCGAAACTCAAAATTTCGACCCGAAAAAAAAACGACAGTGTTACCCCTTACGTTTTTTTTCGTTTTCGG